CAGGCATTTGTCGGCGATTTCTCAAAACCTGTCGGCGAGCCAAAATCGGGGCTAAAATCACGCAGTCTGAACTAGGCATAAGGGCGACAATTCCCAGATTCATCAGGCAGGAACAGTAAACGGCGGCTTTACTTTCACACATGAACTAAGCAGCAGTTGACCATGAGATGTGCTGGAACCGACCGTGAATTCCTCAGGGCCAAATAGTGGAGGTGCTCACATTACCAACACAAGCCCTTGGCCAAAAGTTAATGCAACTCTTGATAGAAATAAACCTTGATGGGAAATAATGAACACATAATCGATACGTAATCAAAGCTAAAGATGGCCACTAGTCTGATGAATCCTGGCACTGCCAATCTGGAATGTGACCATGGGACGGTTATTGTTTGACTTGTTTCCCTCTTGTGTACTGTTAAAATGAACCCTTACGTTATGTTGGGGGCTGTTTTTGCCCCATTGACTTCAATTAGCATGATATTTTTTGATTGCAAAGGCATGGCAGCATATAGTCATGCATTCTTGATTGTTGCTGCTGGTTTTCCCTGTTGGGAGGAGGTAAAATGTGTACGTTTTACTGTTGGCTAGTTGGCCTTTAGATGCAGTTCTATGGAATAAACAAACAGATTATAGACGGTGTGTGCATAAATACACTTACTATATTTACTATGTTCTGAAAGCTGAGCTGCTTATTTGATTTACTCAGAGATATCAGGATAAGTGCGCAAAGGTCTTTCATATACTCTCACACACTATACTCCATATTGAAGGCAGAATCTAAGCTTTTTTTGCACTGCAACTGATGATCAACAGTAAAAATGACCAATTGTACCTCTTCCTAACAGACAAAAATAGCAGGAATCAAGAATGTATGATTAAAAGGTGTCGTGGCTTTGCAAAAAAATGTCATTATAATGGAAGTCAATTGATCAAAAACAGCCACCAACATAACGAAGGGGTAGAAAATTTTGCCACAAATTAATTGATGAATTTTTAAACATTGAGCAGTTGAAATAAGATTTGTCACCAAAAACCTTTCCATTTGCTGAAACACAGAGTAAGTTGCGGCCAAATTAAGACCCAAAATCATCCCAGAGTGGATAAGAACGTCCTCAACAGCACACAAAGGTTAAGAAATAAAAATCTACACACTATCATTTCGGCTTAAAAGCTGATCAAAGTTGAAACATTTAGTTCTAACATTTAGTCACTGCAATGGAAATCTGCAGACTCTTCAGTATTTGCTTGCTTGATACAAACAGCAGTTTCATTCGGTCAGGTATAGTATAATAGTGCACAGTATTTTTACCTCACTACTGCACTTAAAGGGTCACGAAACACCAAAACACATTTTTTGAGTTGTTGACAGTCGTATATGTGTCCCACACTGCTAAAAACACTATTAGGACACCTATATTTCACTAAACAGTGTAAATTGGTTGTTTTTGCGTTATTTCAAGCAAATTCGTACTTCCTGTTTGAAACGAATTTTTGAAGCTGAGTCACGGTCATGACATAATAGCGTTGTATTCCAGCGTGCAGACTGGACGTCGGTGCCAGAGTGAGTCTTATTACGTCTTACAGTGTGATGCATTAATGCATGAGTAAGGCTTGGTTCAAACCAATCAGCGCGCTCTATTGTGCAACTTCATTAATATTCATTACTGTCAGAGTGTAGACGGCAGAGACGCCACGTTGTGTTGGCAAAACATGCGTGAAGTGTTGCTTTTATAGTTTGCTGCAGTTAAGTTTCGTTTTCATTTTCTCTCTGTGAGAGCTCAAACTCACGTGTGGATTACAGTGTACGCGACGCGCGACAACAATAATTTACGTGTCCAAGGAGGATTATTGTTTACCTGAGAGCTGTTCTCATCTGCAAACGCTGAGATCCGGATTCGCTTGTAGTCTCCTCTTAATAAAGACGCGGCTCTAGTTGCTGGTGATTGTCCTGTCTCTACAGATTTGGTAAGTGAGCGACCAGTGCTCTTTGTTTATTCAGTTCGTATTTTATTCGTATCAAACAAACTATTGCAACGAGTGTAAACAAGTTAGCACTAACAGTTGCAACTTAACTATAACCTCGTGTAGGATTTTGTGACTGGAATAACAAACGCGGCTTTCTGACGCTACCTGCCGTGTGCATCTAAGTTTCCGGGAAATGCTGAGTTTTTTTTCTCTCATTCGCCGTGCGGTATCAAACACTGCATGAAAAATACACGCTTAGAGCAGCTCCTCGAATCAAATATCACGTTTATCAGGAGGGACATGAATGAATTCTCTGAATGAAAGAGCCAAACTGCAGTTAAAGTCCACCATTTAATAATTTGGCAAATAATTTGACTACAGATGTCCATGTTAACACAGTCACATTGTCCGCTGTGGTTGTGTGTTTTGACTCTGAAATTCAGCGCGCCCAAATAGACACTCCCACACCCTCCCACTTTAGTTCCTCCGACACTCCCCCCTAAACAGAGCTGGACACGCCCACTTTTCTGACTTTTTCCAAAGTAGAGGTGTGAAAACACACTGCTGAAACGAGGGGGTTTCATGGCCCTTTAAAGTGACAGTACACCTAAAATATCCTCATTATTTAATCACACTCAAGTGGGGGAAATGCATCCATTGACTTTCATAGTAAAATAAAAAAATATATGATTGAAGTTAATGGATGCTATATTGTCTTCTTTTGTGTTCACCAAACAAACAAACAAAAAAAGAAAGAAACTCAAACAGGTTTGGAATAGGCCTGTCACAATAATCAATATTTGGACTTATCACACAACACATAGACATGAGCTCAATCATTTCTGGTGATGTAATATATATCGCCCATATATAAAACCAATTCTAGCAACATTTTAGCAGATTGTGCAGCATCTCTATGTCTATTGAAGGCATCAATGTCAGTATGGTTAAAAAAACACTGTAGTATTTACTATAAATGACTATAGTACATTTCCATGTGGGTGTCTGACAGCTGAAAATAGATCTGGTAGCAGATATCGCAGCCTCTGTTACTTTTTACCTTGCTTTTTTAAAAAAAAAATTTTTTACATTTATTATTATTTATTTATTTAGGATATTTTCACCTTTTGATTCCAGTGCCTTATTATTAAATTGTTAAACTAATTATAATTAAATTAATTATTCTTAAGAATGAAATATGATGTGTTCTTCGGAAGAGTGTACTTGCGTTGTGATATTATATTCTTATTCTGACATTACATAATGAGTGGCATAAAATGCTCTTAAATGACAATAATATCGTTAATCGCAATATATTTTGATGCAATATATCATACAACAAAAAATAGACATTGTGACAGGCCTAGTTTGGAACCAGTGAAGGACGAGTAAATGATGACAATTTAAATATTTGGATAAACTGTCCACTTAAATAAATTTAATTATTTCTATTGTCACTATTCTTATTACGTAAAGGGATTTTTACTCAACTCCAGTAAATGATTCACAGAATTTGCTTAAAAATGTGATTAAAAATGAGATCACCTCAGCTTGAGTGTCCATGATTGATGGTGCAAATTACAGCTTACTAATGCCAATTATTAGGATTTATTAATTTAATAAAAGTTATATTTAGCTCAGGATAGTCAGTATTCAGTAAGTAAATCTGCTGTAAAAGTTAAGACAGCAGTATGAAATATTTGAATATAAATCTGTCAGCATGGCAGATTATACTGTATGAGTGTAACTTAATCCACCAGCGAGTATAACTGAATGAACACTGGTCAGTATGAGTGTATAAGACAGCACTGATTGAAATGTGAAGCAGCACAAAAATGACAAAGAGGACCAAGCAGAAGTGCAGGATTTAACACCCAGATAAAGACTTGCTCCATTCAGATATGCCCCCTAGTGTCACATTTTATGTACAGCAGATAAAAATAAATAAATAAATACACATTCTGTCTATTTACTCCATTCTGTCTATTAAGGCCTTAAAAAGAAACAATAAATCAAGGCACAATTAATCATTAACCAATATGACAACAGCCTCGATTCGGCTGTTTAAAATGGCGGCCGCATGAAATCAGTCTATGGAAGTCAAATATTTGTTCAAAATATCTGCTTTTGTGCTTAACAAAACAAAAAAACAAGTATATTGGAAAATGTTAATATTGGAAACAAGTAAAGTGTTAGTAAATAATAATGATGCAATTAAAATTTTTGGATTAAGTATCCCTTTAGGTCCACTTAATATGAAGTGGGATCCTTTTTTTGTCATTACATGTAAGAATATTAATACAGTGTTAGATCAGGAAGAGGATGATCAAATGACGACAGGCGTCTCATTCTTAAATGAACTAACTCTACTTTAATGCATGTTGAACAAGCGTAAGGTGTTTTAGAGCATTTATTTAACTAAGCTACGATAGGTCTAAGGGTTAAAATGGCTAATGGCTGTGTACTAGGGCTGCACAATATATTGCTTGCGCATCTATATGGTAATGTGTGTATCTGCAACACCCACATCGCGGGATTAGATTATTATTTATTAAATATTAATGTCATTGGTGTTTTTATTATTTATACATTGATGATCAAGTTATTTTATGCTTGATTGTTTGATTTCTGTACCTGAATACTGTTAGACTCTACTGCACTGTTTATTTACCTTTAATCTCTGCTCTGTTGTATTTACATATGCTTGAAATGGATTATTATTTATGCAAACGCACTCCATAGAAAAAGACCAGATCATCCCAATCTATCTAAATGAATGAAATCTTTCCAAATAGAGCTAATTAATAAATCTGGTGAAATTATTTTCGTTTCACAACATATATAGCAGAAAAACAAAATATTGCAACGTCAGATTTTTACAATATCGTGCAGCCCTACAGTGTACAAAAACCTAATCTACTGTAATATTCTGGCTGAAATGGCACGTGAGGGTTATCTCTGCAAAATAAGTTTCTGTTAATCAGTCCAACCCTCCCAAAAAGAGCGGTTAACAGGCCCGACATGCCGGCATTTACCTGGGAAACGAGAGAAGAGAGAGCATCTCTTAAGAGACAGGTGACGAGGACGAGAGACACTCACTGAGAGCCAGAGAAACACACAGTAAGACAGCGCTGAGGGAGGAGCGAGAACAGCAACAGGGAAAATCTCACAGCAAACATTTGGGGTCAGTAAGTTTTTTTTATATGAAAAAACGGTAAATATGCATTGATTTGACATGTTACAAAAGATTTCATTATTTTAAGCTGCTCTTTTAAAGTTTCTATTGACTTGTTCAGTTTCTACAAACAACTTAATGGACCCTTTTCACAAGACTGTTGTGACGCGTTTAGATCAGCGTCTTAAATCCTTTGAAGTTTTTAATATTGTTCCAGCTGTTGCCTGTCTGTGCTTGTGTGTGTGTCATAAAGTCACTTACTGTTTGTTTCCTAGAGTCCTGTCCGCCTTTGCAAATTGGCTATATATGGACTGACATTGAGTGGAGGGAGGAGACTTCACTGCCTGCCATTAAGCTTCATTTATTTTCCTGTTTTTTTTCTCTCTCTTAAGTCTTATATTATTATTGTTTATTGTTTATATCATTAATATTTTTATTGTTGGGTTGTTAGTCTTAGGTCTGTGTTTTTTATTTGTTGGAGAACATGAACTTTGATTCTTTATTCATTCTTGCTTAGTTTAGACAACTTCATTCATGTGTACTCTTTATGCTGCAATCTATTGATGGATTAATTATTTTGTGTTTAAAAAAAGGTTCGTAACAATATTTAGATCTTATTTAAAAACGTGTGTATGTATATATATATATATATATATATATATATATATATATATATATATATATATATATATATATATATATTTGTGCATCAAATTACAAAAAAAACATTAATTCTGAAGATTGGTCCAAACTCTGCGATGGTATTTTTGCAAAATGTACCTCAATTTCCAAACATGAAAGTCTGCATAAAATTATCTTAGGTTGTTTCAACCTCTGTTTTAAAAGCAAAACTTGTAAGAACAGGTATTTTTAATAGGTTTTAATTTAATTTTTAAATAGATTTTACAGGTATTTTGGTCTTGTGTTCAAATCTAACCATTATGAAGAGGGGTTCACTCTGCAATCCAGGGGATAACAGGAAAATGTTTTACTTTCTCCTTCTCAATGTTTTTGTTGAATGACATTCCTAAAGACTTTTTTGACTGAGACCTTAAACCTCTGTTTACAACTCTTAAATTTCTAGCTAAGAAACGTATATTACTAAAGTAGTCGACTTCTCAGATTCCGACTATTTCCATGTGGATTTCTCATTTCTTTTCTCCTTTAGAGAGATAAACTTATGAGGTCTTATCATACACCCGGTGCAATAAGGCGCAAGATTTGCATGGCACAAATTGGTGCTATTTTCAAATCAACGCAACCTTAAATTTTACATTTTGTTAAAAACAGCAAATCCATTTGCGTCACTTTGTGGACTCATAGGTGTTAAAATGAGGTGTGTTAAGGCGCATTGTTGTATTTTGAGGAACTGAAATAGACTGCCCCATTGACCAACTAAAAGCTGGTCTAAAGTCCAGCACAGAGCGATGTTTTCAGTTTATTCATGATAATTTGTAAAATTATTATAATTTTTAGCAGAATTATTTATTATATTATATTATTTATTATAATATTATATTTATTATATGGGGGATAAGAATAAGACGTGTGTTTGGATATAACTTGCTTTTTCTTTTTTTTTTTGGAAAAGTGGATTCGGACATGCCCTTAATGCTTTTGCACCATGCACTTTAGACTTTGCACCTAGATCATTAAAAAAGAGCCTATGACCTCAACCGCAAACAGGACAAATTCAGAAGACTTTGGGAACCTCTCCAATTTTTATTCTAGGAACATTCTGGCTTCTTTTGTTTTGATTTGTGTTTTTTGTTAACAGATACATCTGTACATTTTATTTAATCGGCAGTGTTTGAGGTTTGTTTGTACTATTTGAAAATCCTTATCGAATAATAAAGAAATTACAAAAAATGAATTATCGCTTGTGGGAGGTGTCTACTGCAATGTTTATGGAGCAGGACAGTGAATTTGATGTTATTCTCTCTTCCGGCGGCTCAAAGTCTTGATAATACCATTGTTGAGTTTTTCTTTTATCTTTCAGCAAATAGGTTTGTAAAAAAAAAAAACATTTGTTGTATTCTCCCATTCACTGCACTATAAGTTTACCTAACTATGACGACTTCCGCTGCTGAGAAACCCGGAAATGTGAAAAAGGTCCATGATAAGAAATGCATCTTCAAAAGCAAATAACATCTTATCAGAATGTTCTGATGACACTGAATAGTTGAGCAGTGATGCTGAAAATTCAGCTTTGAATACAGGAATAAATTAGAAAGCATCTAAAAACAGAATACAGTTATTTTTAATTGCAATGAAGAATATGAAATATCTTACTGACACCAAACCTGTGAAAGATGCCATATTCGTGAGCAAAGACAGACAAACATAAACATCAACACTGGCTCTTTTATAAATCAAGGGAAGACAATGGTCCCAGAATTTATAATTAATTTACTCACACTGTTTCACTTACTATGTTGGTTGAGCTCAAAAGGAGATGTTGGGTAGAAAGCACATTTATGCTGCTATTATCCATACAACTGAGTGGAAAAACTCATTAAAGGTGCCATAGAGTGCATTACTTCAATATGTTACATTTTCTGATATCCAAGTAGACATCCTTTGCACAAAACTAAATACATTTCACAAAACAACTTGACAACGTTTATGACTTTAATTTAATACTTTCTCCCCCTACAGCAGGTATGTCCAAGCTTGGTCCTAGAGGGCCGGTGTCCTGCGAAGTTTAGTTCCAACCCCGATCAGACACACCTGGCCTAGCTAATCAAGCTCTTACTAGGGCTGTTTCTCAATATGCGTTCTTCAGCGGTCTTGCGTCCTTGTGTTCTCGTGCAACATCATCATCAGCTGCCTAAGTTCATTTCCAATACTCAAGACCCCAAATACGGAGTATGCGTGAAACTTTCCGGATGTGATCTTGATATCGAGGACGCACAGATGCAGACTTGAGCACCGAACTCGCTCTGGAAGTCCCAGAAGTCATTGCGACTGGAGGAAGCGCAGCATTTTATTTAGATTTATTATTGAAGTTTAGAGATATCATTTATTTACCTTAGAAGTTTCCCTAAATGAAACGGTGAAAGTAAACATTAACATGGACATCTTAATAGAGGAATAAACACATTAAGGGTGTTTGTTTGCTGAAATTTGTATTAAAATCTGTTTATTTTATATTGTGCAAAGTATATATTTTTAAAAGGGGAAAAACAATAAATAGTTGTATGAGTGCTGCACTGTTTAAATATTTTACCATTTAAAACGCATGAAGGTCATGTGACCATCAGGAAGAACACAGCATCTCATTTCTCACAGGGCACGTTCTCTGCCCTCACAGTCTCCTGAGTTCGTTCTTCCGAGGACACCTGGCAAGACCGGTCTCTACAAGAACGCAAGTCCGCTCTCTGCGTTCTTGGAATTAAGAAACAGCCTAGGCTTTCTAGAAACATCCTTGCAGGTGTGTTGAGGCAAGTTGGAGCAAAAATCTGCAGGACATCGGCCCTCCAGGACAGAGATTGGATACCCCTGACCTACAGTATCTGTCTCCATATGGAAAACTTTTCTGGCATAGTCAGTTTACTCTGTAGCTCACCTTGTACGGTATTGTACTTGTGATGCAGACTCTCGAGTTCGAGTCTGGTAAAACAATTCCACAAAAGAGATAAAAATGTAAAGTCACGGTAATGAGTGCAGTTTTCTCTTAGGCGCAAGTTGTGATGATTAAGGTTTGTGTAACATTACATTACATTAGGATAGAGGTTACATTATGGAAAAAAAAAATCATTGTTTTAATAACATTAGGAAAAATTGGGGCCAATCACAACACTGCCTGGGTGTGCATATTTACGATCCTGTGTGGATCATCAGAGGTGTTTTGATCTGATTGGCCTGTTTTTCACTAAGACTTTAATGAGAATGTGGAAACAATGCTGTTTGAGGCTCACGGTATGTCATTTCCCTGAAATGAACTATTATTATTAAGCGATGTCTTGAAATATCCAGATTTTCCTCCTATGGCACCTTTAAATGCTAACATCTCCTTCATCATAGCTCTAAAATCTTATTCATATATATTTATTTGAATCCATTTTTCAGGAGGAAGCTTTAAGATTTCAACAATGTTTTATTTAGTGGGCGAAGCAGTGGTGCAGTAGGTAGTGCTGTCGCCTCACAGTAAGAAGGTTGCTGGTTCGAACCTCGGCTCAGTTTAACATTTCTGTGTGGAGTTTGCATGTTCTATGTAGTGTTCTGGTAGTGTCAGAAAATGACACTCATCCCCCAATATCTCTCAAGCTTCTGCGACTAAATGTTTTTATTACACTTTAGTTGTTTAGTTTCAGTATGTCAGTATGCATGACTTAAACAGATTTGGAAAAAAGGTGAGCAAATGTATACACTTTCATTCATTAATTTTCCTTCAGCTTAGTCCCTTTATTTATCAGGGGTCGCCACAGCGGAATGAACCGCCAACTTATCCAGCATATGTTTTACACAGCAGACATCCTTTCAGCTGCAACCCAGTATTGTGAAACATCTAATCACACTCATTCACACACATACACTACGGCCTATTTTATTTAATCAATTCACACATACCGCATGTCTTTGGGCTGTGGGGGAAATCGGAGCACGTGGAGGAAACCCACGTGAACATGGGGAGAACACAAACTCCACACAGAAATGCCAACTGGCCCAGCCAGGACTCGAACCAGCGACCTTTCTGATGTGTGGCAACAATGCTAACCACTGAGCCACCGTGTCGCTTATAGTTTCATTTATAGTTGAATTATACCATTAACCATCTTCCATTTGCTACAAACCTGTTTAAGTTGATTTTCTTTCTGTTTAACCAGTAATCACAAACATTCTTCAAAATATTTTCTGTTGTGTTTAACAGATGAAAGAAACTACTAAAAGGTGAGTAAATTTTCCTTTTTGGATGAGCTAAGAACATGGATGGCCACTAGAGGGCGACAATCGACTGCTTTTTTTTAAACTCCAATACGCATGTAGATGGGTGGCCTGGAAAATTCCCAGTATCCCACGTGAGATAATTATAATTATGAGTGATTAGTGGCAAAGCCGGCCGTTGCTTTAAAACGTTTTCCCATCTGCTGTTGAACCCTTTAATAATGTGGTATTTACACAGACTCACAAACAAGACCACCTACTGTTCGCCTACTCACATAAATCTAAAAGCACTGAAAATAGGATATGATCTTTAGATAATTACCCTATAGAGCTGTAAAGAGGAAAGCAGCACAAATTGTAGTAGTTTAATTTATAAATAGGCTTATGAATGTTGATTGATGAATTAATTGAAGTTTATATCAGATTATTTTGTGTATGTTTGATGCATGTATGTTTTGGGTATTTGACTCACCTAATGTTGGAGCACTGAGAGCCATGACACCATAGAAAGAGAAAGGTCCCGTCTCGAACTTCATATTTTCATTGCCAGCCTCCACTTCCACACGGCCCTGTGCACAGAGGAAGATAATTCAGGTGGCTTTTCACAAGAAACTACAATAAAACAGACAGTATGATATGAAACGTGCATAAGCTGCAGCTATAATAAAGATTTATTTTTTATTGATGCCCCATATGCTCACTCACTTCAGCATACAGTTAATAAAAAACAACTTCAAGCTGAAATGATTTGAAATATTACAATTAAAGATAATTAATATTGGCGGAGCTGTGGCGCGATAGGTAGTACTGTTGCCTCACAGCAAGAAGGTCGCTGGTTCGAGCCTCGGCTGGGTCAGTTGGCGTTTCTTTGTGGTGCTCCGGTTTCCCCCACAGTCCAAAGACATGCGGTACAGGTGAATTGGGTAGGCTAAATTGTCCGAAGTGTATGAGTGTGAATGAGTGTGTGTGTGGATGTTTCCCAGAGATGGGTTGCGACTGGAAGGGCATCCGCTGCGTAAAAACTTGCTGGATAAGTTGGTGTTTCATTCCGGTGTGACGACCCCTGATTAATGAAGGGACTAAGCCGAAAAGAAAATGAATGAATGAATGAATGAACAATTAATACAAACTTATTAATACAAACTTAATCTATCTATATATCTATCTATCTATCTATCTATCTATCTATCTATCTATCTATCTATCTATCTATCTAGCTATCTATCTATCTATCTATTTATCTATAGTATATATCCATCCATTAATTCATCTATCCATCCTTACTATATATCCATCCATCCATAGTATATATCCATCCATCCATAGTATATATCCATTCATTAAGTCATCTATTCATCCTTAGTATATATCCATCCATCCATAGTATATATCCATCCATCCATCCATCCATCCATCGTATCCATCCATCCATCCATCCATCCATAGTATATATCTATCCATCTATTCATCCATAGTACCTATTTATCCATCCATCCATAGTATCTATTTATCCATCCATAGTATATATCCATCCATCCATTCATCTGTCCATCCATCCATAGTATATATCCATCCATCCATAGTATATATCCATCCATCCATCCATCCATCCATCCATCCATCCATCCATCCATCCATCGTATCCATCCATCCATCTATTCATCCATAGTACCTATTTATCCATCCATCCATAGTATCTATTTATCCATCCATAGTATATATCCATCCATCCATAGTATATATCCATCCATCCATTCATCTGTCCATCCATCCATAGTATATATCCATCCATCCATAGTATATATCCATCCATCCATAGTATATATCCATCCATCCATCCATCCATCCATCCATCCATAGTATATATCTATCCATCTATTCATCCATAGTACTTATTTATCCATCCATCCATCCATCCATCCAGTATATATATCTATCCATCTATAGCATATATCTATCTATCTATTCATCCATAGTATATCCATCCATCCATAGTATATATCCATCCATCCATCTATCCATCGTATCCATCCATCATATATATCTATCCATCTATTCATTCATGAAGGGACTAAGCCAAAAAGAAAAAAAAAATGAATGAATGAACAATTAATACAAACATAATACAAGCTATCTATCTATCTATCCATCCATCCATCCATCCATCCATCTATCTATCTATCTATCTATCGTATATATACATCCATCCATAGTATAATCCATCCATCCATCTATAGTATTCATCCATCCATCTATAGTATATATAAATGCATGTGACAAAATGACATCAAATCTTTTAATATCTATTTCTATACTTTTCATATCATATCTATATCTATTATATTTATTTATTAACAATTTTTATATAAATTGCAGCATTCAGCATAAGAGCAAACAATATTTAAATGTATACAAATTGCCACTGTGTTTTTTAATGTTTAAAGTGCCCATGGGTGATAATTTGCAGTTTATGAATCACATTTTGGATAACCTGAGGGTGAGAAAATTAAAAACCAAATTACAATTTTTTTGGGTGACACAATCTCATGAATAATTATGGCAGGCTGATGCATCAGAATGCTAATTGTATTCACAGAATATAAAAACAACACAAAACTGCTAAAAACTAACCAGTTTTTTCACATTAAAATGTAAAAAGTGCAATGCAAATGTCTCGAAAAATCAATGTAGTTCAGTAATTCATGATACTTTAAACAGTCAAAATTGAGGTCACTAAATCAATGCGAACTGTGCCTTTATTGACGTGTGCTGGTCACTCTCTGCATTCACTGCACTCAAATCAGAAGCATGAATGTCTCTCTTTGTGCCGCATGGAAAAAAGTTTAAGTGTGAATAACCCAAGAGCGAATTCTCATTTTTGGGTGAACTAATCCTTTTAATGAATCAAACGCAGCCGCAAGCATCTGACCTTCTGACTGGTGAAAAGACCACAAGACCAGTTTCCCAGACTCAAGGCAAATGAAAGCCATTTTTTTTCTGGAAGCATCACCACCCATGTGGACAGACAGACACATAAATGAAGCACCGCTGATGAGAAGACCCTGGGTGAACTAAAGCCAGGGGAGTGTGTGAATGTGAGCTGTGGTCAAGAGGAATGTGAGAACTGTAGCACAGTAAATCCACTGAGACAACAATGACACACACACACTGAATACCATCGACCGACTGATGCACACACACTATGGTGCAACATGATCACATTGTTCACACACAGACACACAGGTATTGGTGGTTTACGTGAAGTTGATAGACGTAATGTATTTTATACTATCGCCTTACCCCACACCTACCCCTAAAACCAACCCTCACATGAACAGATAGCAAATTTAGAATGTCAAAAGACCACGTTGAGTATTATTTTTAAGTGTTTTGATTTACAAAGACACAAGTCATGTCCTCATAAACCACCTCAGCATTGTAATTTCTAGGATTGGCAAAAGTATCGACTTTGGTACTAATCGTAATCTGAAATTGAAACAAAATATTTCGATAAGTCAATTTCCGAAGGTGATAAATTGACAACACAAGGTCATGACCATGCCATGACACAAATTTGTGCCCTTGTAAATCACCAAAACCAGCCTTTACACACACTAGTGTTGTCATGCTATTGAATTTTGCTACCAATCAGTATTGAAAGTTTTCAAAAAGTCAATTTCCCACTAACATTTAAGCTGTTGAGCGCGTTCATAAGCACAGCTGATTTTCCATTGTGTTCACATGCTCAACAGAATTTACTGTGATTGGCCGTGAATCATTCAGCACGTGAAGCACTTGACCGCTGTTTACACAGAAACATATAGATAGATCAGTCTATCACTCAGCAGATAGCTTGTATGTCAGCTCATAGACAGACCAGCAGATCTTCACAGCTTTACAACGCTCCACTGACCCTGTATCTGTGTAAACTGCGGTGAACCGATGACCTTCACATTTTAAAATTCCAGTATTGAATGGTACCAAAATTCGGTATCGCGACAAAACTGACACACACAGACAGAGCTATCCTTGTGAGGACATCAACATAATGTAATCTCTATCCTAATGCAATGTAATCTAACACAAGCCTTAATCATCACAACTTGAACCTAAGAGAAAACTGCACTACAACCACAGAGATTTACCTTGATTTTACATTGGTTTTATCTCTTTTGTGGAATCGTGCTTTACCAGACTCAAACTAGAAAACACCGTACAGGGTGGGGGATGGGTTATCACGCTGGGCCATTCCCACTGCCTACAGCGAATCACATTCTTTATCAATGACATTCGCATTGAACTGAACTGAATCATCATTTAACCCCCAAAAAATAATAATTCTGTGCCTGATGTATTGAACAGATTTTCGATTGTTGCCTGTTGTCTTTCCATCTGCTCTGACACAATGTGAATCGTATAAAGCACTGTAGAAAGTAAACCTTTTTAATGAAATATTGGACTCTGCAAGCATCAAAAGAGAAAGGCTGTTTGTAGCGGCTGCATGGAACCTGTTTTTCTGGACAGATTAGATTATTCACTTTTAACAAATATACAAGCTGACCTGACTGAGAAACAGCTCCAGGACAAAAGTAGACACACACCCCCACAAACATCAGAAACGTAGACAACAGATCTTTAAATAGACCATCCTGACCGTCCTTGTGCCACTTAATATACAAATCCATGGCTGTGAGGAGGGGGAACAAAAACACTCTGAGCTGGCACAGGCGAAAGTTCACTTTTAACAAAGTATATCCATCCTTAAGATGTCAAGAACAAACAAACAAACTCACAAATACTTCAAACGTGCCCCGAGCAAAATGAGGACCACAGGAGACTTTTATTAATATTTTTATCACAACTTTTTTATGCGTGTATGTAAGTGTATATAAATATGATATGCAATATTTATTTACTTTTTAAATAAATCCAAGACTGTTTTTTAAATATATATTACAGAAAAAAATAAACTTTTATATTTCTGACTTTCATTTATAATAACGATATGAAATTTTTATTTAGTTTTTTAAGCAAGACAGTTTTTTAAATGAATAAAAAATACATACAAAAAGAACTTTTATATTTCTGAGTTTTTGTTTTTAAAGCAAATTTTTTCTTTTAATAATTCATAATACTAATACCACTACTACAAATAATTATTATAATTGATAAATGCTATAAAGATTAATATTGATTTTACTGATATAATAATATTTATATTTTTCCCAGAGACGGGTTGCGGCTGGAAAGGCATCCGCTGCATAAAAACGTGCTGGATAAGTTGGCAGTTCATTCCACTGTGACGACCACAGATTAATAAAGGGACTAAGCCGAAAAAAAAAGAATGTTTGAATGAATAATAATTATGTTAGTAATAAACAATATTATTTTATTAAATACAATTTATTCAATTATATTAATGAAATGAAGTCAATTAAAGCCAAAGTTGGGAGTTTTCATAAATAATATTAACAGTCATCATATTTCATAAATATTGCTGATGACATTATCTTATGGTCAGTAATAAAAATGTTTATTGTTTTGAAAGACAAAAAAATTGTATAATAAA